CAACCTAACAATAATTCATGCTGACTTCTCTCTGTGGGTCCAAATACAGATGAGAAACCAGAACCCATGCAGCATTATAAGGAATTTGTCCAGGATATAGGACTTGATAAAATTGGAATCATCATTTTCACAAAAAAAGGTAGTAAGAATGGGGTTTGGCTCTACACTACTCCATCCCTCCATCCTCTACATTCCAAACCCTTCTCTTCCTTCCCCTTTCTAGTTCCTTCCTTTCCTTTGAAGTGGTCTTATATTAACTTCTTAGCAGACCATATCTAATTACACTATTATTCAACTAGTGAGCTCCACTGTAGGAATTGCTTTGGCAAATGCATTCATATGCGTCTTTGTTTTGCAGAGGCCTGCACTCTGGAACATGCTTAAGGCAGGTGCTCTTTAGAGGTTTCCAAAGCAGAGATGTCAAACTCAGGGAAAGGCTTCTTGTAGAAGGTTAGATTTTATTTAGGACTTGAAAGAAACTAAAGAAGTCAAGAAGCAGAGATGAGGAGGGAGAATATTCTAGGTAAGGGGGACAGATGATGCAAATGCATGGAGTGTCTTGTGGAAGGAAAAGAAAAAGAGCCAGTTCCACTGGGTTGCAAAGTATGTGGAGGGATTGGGGAAGGAGAGTACGGTGTAAGAATGGAAAAGTATAGAAAGGGCAAAAGTCATGAAGTCTTTGAATGTGAAACAGAGGATTTCATATTTGATCCTGAAGGTAATAAGGATTCATCAGTTTATTGAATAGGGGATGACATTATGAGACCTGTAATGTAGGAATAACAGCTTGACAGCTGAGTGGAAAATGGATTGGAGTGGGAATATGAGAGTCAGGGAAACCAATGAGGGGGCTATTGTAGTAGTCCAGGCATGAGGTATTGAAGACCAGCACCAGGGTGTTGAGAGTATCAGAGAAGAGAAGTGGACATGTATGAGAGCTGTTATAAAGTGAGGATTGACAAGACTTGGCAACATATTGGATGTGGGGGGGGAATGAGAGAGAGTGAGGAGTCATGGATGACACCTAGACTCAAGCCTTAGTGACTTGGAGGATGCCGTTAACTCTGACAGTGATAGTAAAGTGTTAGGAAGAGGAAAGGTGTTTTTTTTTGTTTTTGTTTTTGTTTTGAGAAGAGAGTCACTTTAATTTTGGACATGATGAGTTTAAGATGTCTAAAGGATATCCAGTTGGAAATGCCCAATAATTGATAACTTTGGAAAGAGCAGTTTTAGTTGAATTATTAGGATGGAAGGAAATCAGGCTGCAGAGAATTAAAAAGAGCATGAGAGGAAAGGAAATGGAGGCACCAATTATAAATGGCCTTCTCAAGGATTTTAGCCAGAAAAGGGAGGAAAGACACGGGAAGATAGCGAGCAGAGGATCTAGTGATCTAGATCATGGATCTAGTGAGGGTATTGTTGAGGACAGTGAAGATTTGACTGTGTGTGTAGGCAGTAGGGAAGCCACTAGTAAATAAGGAAAGATTGAAGATTAGTGAGGGAATAGGGGTGATAGAAGGAGAAATGTGCTTTAAAAGATGGGATGGGAAAAGGGGATGGAATGAAATCACTTGTGCACATAGAAAGATTTACCTTGGCAGGGAAAAGGGTCACCTATTCATGTGAGATAGAGGTCAAGGAAGAGATGGTGGCAGAAGACATATGGGTTATATGAGATGATAAAAAAAGGATAAGAGAGAGCTCTTGGGCCAGTTTTTTTCAGTGAAATATGAGGCAAAGTTGTCAGTTTAGAGGGTGAAGGGAAGAGACAACTATGTAATGTTTGAGGAGGGAAGAACGTGTTTGGAAAAGGTATTTAGAGAGTGCAATAATGAATCAATCAGGAAGACACAAAAGGATGGCTTTACAGAAAATTAGGGCCATTTTGAGATTATGTAACATAAGTTTGTAGTGAACACAGTCAACGTAGTTTCATGATTTTCTCCAGCTTTGTTCAGTGGTACATGAATTGCAGTGAAGATATCAGTTGGTCTTGGTAATTCAAAGCTGAAACTTGGCAGGCAAGAATGTTGATGAGGGGGTAAGGGATTCAAGGGAAGAGGACATTGTAGAATTAAACTGGTTTAAACAAGTCATCAGGATGGGGAAAGGAAGAGAGTATAGTCAGTGCAAGTGTGATGGTAGGAGAAAGAACTGAGGAGTGAAAGGCTTGGGGGTATTGGTGAGGATGAACGGCATCATCAAATTGTGATAAGATAAGGGAATTTCAGAGTTTATGAACATGGAAGCAGAACACCTGTGGGCAATGGTAAGCTCTGTCTGCAGCTGAGGTGAGATGGAGGAGTAGGTTATGTGAAATGAATAAGTTTAAGAACTGTAAGATTAGGATGTTTTAGGAAATATATATTTTGAAGTTCCCTAGGACAGGTATTTGGGAAGCAGGAAAGACCGTGAGTTAGGCACTGAATTCATTGGAGAGTATCTTGAGAGGAAAAAAAAGAGTATCTTGGAGGTTGGGAGATAATAATTAACAGAAACTTGAATCCATGGTAAACCCAAATTGTATGAACCTGAAAGCAGAGTTTACTGAATAACCAAGGTAGAAGGAGAGCCTTGAAGAGTATTCCAACTACCCCACCTGAATCCATGAGTCAGAAGGGTATGTGAGAGTGAAACCAATACTGACATTGCAACATTGTCTTTACAATGTTGTTGTTACTATACAAAATTTTCTCTTGAATTTGCCTGCATCAATTCATACAAGTCTTACCAGGTTTCTCTAAAACTACTACCATCACCATTTCTTACAGCACTATAGTATCTTATTACATGTATATAACATAATTTATTCAGCCAGTCCCTTAGGGGTGGGGAACCTGCAGCCTTGAGGCCACATGTAGCCTTCTAGGTCCTTGAGTGCAGCCTTTTGATTGAGTACAAGTTTTACAGAGCAAATCCTTTTATTAAGGGGATTTGTTCTGTGAAGTTTGGATTCAGTTAAAGGGCTACACTTGAGGACCTAGAGGGCCACATGTAGCCTTGAGGCTGCAGGTTCTTCACACCTGCCCCTAACTGATGGGCACCTCCACTCAGGTTCTGATTCTTTGATGTCATAAAAAAAACTGCTATTTTCAAATATTTTCCTCTTTATTTGATCTCTTGGAATATAGATCTAGTAATGATATCACTGGTGCTAAATTTAGTGACTTTTTGGGGCGTAGTTCCATACTTGTTTCCATAATGGCTAGGCCCATTGATAGTTCCCCCTATAGTCCATTAATGTACCTAATTTTGCCATAGCCCCTTGAATATTTGTTATTTTCATTTTTTTCTCTGTTTTCTCAACAACCTCTAATTTCACAAATTAGAGCTTCCTGGTAGTCATTAGCTCACCTTTATTTTATGAGGAAAAACTCAAAAAACTACACACAATCTTCCTTTGATATTTGATTTATGATTTTGCAAGTTATAGTAATAGCTAGTATTTATATAGTGCTGTAAAATTTGCAAAGAGTCCATTTCTGACATCAAATGGAACACCAATCCCTGTGTTACCCCTTATCTAGCTTAGTCTTGATTGATGAATTCAAAGGTACCTTGCCCTGCAGAGCCTGGAATGGTTGTATCTGTCAAAAGCTCCAACTCTTTTTGCTTACCTCCATACAAAACTCCACAGATCACTCAGGGCCAAGTAGTCTAAATAGAGATTATTGCCTGGGTCATAGTTAGGTATGTAGCTTCATTCTTAGAATCAGATGAAGACTGTGACCCAAGAGTTGTAATGAGGTAGAAACACATGACTTCTTGTATCCTTTTTGCATGAATTTTCCATTGGTGGTCTGTATGCTATTAATAAACCTACAATTCAATAAGAGGTAATTATGACATTTTCTATTTCTTGACATCCAGAACCAGAAGAATACACATATCCAGGGATTACTGAGGTCCAGACTTGCTACCTCACTGCCCAACCTTCTCCTTCCTGGACTAGTTTATCATTTCCTGCCATTTTTTATGAGTATGAAATCAACTTATTTCAATGTCACAATCTGTGCTTGTGTTGATCTGAAAAGCCTTGTGAACATGGCAAAGAGAGGTCAACCTCCTCTGACAAAGATGCAATTGTTATGATCAACCATATCAGTCCAAACAACCTAAGTTCACTCAGGGTCTCAGGACATATACAACTTGTACAATTACAAGGTTCCAAGAAAGAAGATAACTTCAATTAAACATTTAGGAGGGTGGTGATGCCAAGCCCAGAAGATTTTCTGAGAGAAACTAGGCAAGTTATTTGGCCACTGTGTGCCTCCATTTCTTTTCTGGCAAATGAAGATAATTTTATAAGACTTGTTGACATCACAAGGTTGTTATGAGAGAGTAGGTAGGACAATGATTGGAAAAGTTAAAAGCCTTATACAAATGAATGATGAAAGGCCTTTTCCAACTTTGAGTGAATAATAGAAGTGGGACTCAAATTCAGATTCTTTGAATTCTTCCTTGTCCAGGGTTCTTGTTACTATATGCATACAAAACTACAGGGATGTTTCCAATGCACCTGAAAAGCCCTGCAAAATGTGCCAGAAAATATGAGTAGGTGGAGCTGGGGAGGCTGTGGGGTTGGACTGAAGCTGTTGATTTTTCCATATTACTCAAAATAAAGAAGTTTTGAAAGCTTGCTACTCTGATTACAATCTCCTTTCCAGCAATAAACATATCAATTATTAGAATCCGTGGAGGATATAGACATTAAAATAGTTCTTATTCTTAGATGACTTTTTTCTGTATTGTTATTCAAAATTCAGAAAGATGCAGTGCTTCCAAAAATAATAATACATTATTTCCCCCTTCTCTTTCCCCCCAATGCCCTATCATCATATGACAGCCTGATCATTACTCTTAAGGCTGATCAGTCTTCAGTGTTACAATGAGCCCAGGAAATATAAAGAGGCAGTTGGTGGGAGAGGGGCCCAGACATTCTAACCAGCTTCATTGGGTGAGTGACTGAGGAGAAGAAGCTCCTGTAAACGTTTGTCAAGATGAAGGTCCTGTTTCTCACTGTTGCACTAAGCCTGTTCTCCATCCTCCATGCTGATGACTTTACATTTTCTGAATTTAGACCATTGGAGGTAAGACTGCTTTGGGAAATGCTGTAGAATTGGAGTGGAGGGGTGGGGGAGAGAAGATATGTGCTAGCAAGAGGATATCATTTAAAGCCCAGATTCTCCTGGGGTCATTTCAGCCATGTCTGGAACCTGCAACTTTCTCATTCTACAAGGGACAGTAGACTCAACCAGAAAACTTTGGGTTTAATCTAGTGGTGGTGATAGGGATGGTAGTTGAAAAGGTAGAAACCAGGTCAAAGATTTCACTCTTCTCTTGCTTTTACTTTTATTTATTCTGCCCAGAGTTAGCTAGACATAGGGGCTATCATCCAGCTAATGTTATCTCTGCCAATGGCCATTTCAAACAAATTATACTCCCAAGTGGAATTGAGCCTCTAATGATTCAGAGCCACTCCTTGTGAGGAGTAATTTGTAAGATCAGTGCCAAATCTTTGCTCTATTTTGGACCATGAAGTATTTGCTGCAACTTCATAGGTTTGGGTTCTTAAGGTTCGTTTACCTGAACCTACTAGTTGCTTCCAAATTTTTTTCAGTCTGAATGTGCTGCCACAGGTCCATGATAGTCCCTGGGGTAACTGACTCATGGATGAATTTTGCATTAGAACTGAGGTTAGTTCAGAGAAGATCCAGAGGATTAAGAGGAGATATCTGTGGAGCAGAGGGATCTGTTACTCCCTTATTTGTCCCTCCTCAATACCTGGCTAATACCACAATTCTCTTTAGGGCACGTACTACGTGAAGGTCATTTCAGTAGACAAGGAATTTCCTGAGGGGGAGATGCCTAGGGACATATCACCTTTGATCATCACCTACCTTGATGATGCCAGAATGGAGGCCAAATTTACCATGAAGTAAGTGGCCTGCCCAGAATTATCCTGTTTGCCTGCTTCATCTTTTACCTCCCCTGTTCTAGGACCACACCTAGAACTTATTGCTATTCAGCCTCTGAATATCACTCTATAGCCTGTGCTCTTTGAATGTAAGCACATGCAGTAGTTGGAAGTTTTCATATATGAGTAAGAAGTTTCTGTCTATTTTAGCATCAATGGCTGAATTGTTTCCTTCTCATCTATTGACTGATTTCCTGAGTCATTATCCAACTTTTAGTCCCCATATGGGTTCAGGACTCTTCTAACTTTCCCAATTCCCTTATGGATGCCTCTGTCCTATATAGTTCACAACACAAGTCATCATAGGTTATGCATCACAGCCTATTCATACCATATACCTTTCCCCATTTCCTTTGGATCCACTTGTGCTTTTGATTCCTTAGAGAATATGGTATTCTATGACCTCCAGTTCTATAGATTTGCCCAGAAAATGTTTGATATTGAAAAATGAATAGGAACACATGCAAACTTTTTTAATGAATAGGACTACTAAGGGCACAAACTGTGATACTGATCTGCTCTCAGGTATTCTCTTATGGTTGGCCAATTTGAGATTTGATTCAGGAATCTGGAAATCAAATAACTTTTTGTGATTTTGTTGACATGTGCATTTCTAACAGTCTTCTTGTCTTTGGGGAAATTATTCATGTGCATTCTGCTTTCCAGGAAGGATGACAACTGTGAAGAGATTAATATGATGTTGAAAACAACAGATGAACTCAGTAGAATTACCATGAGTAAGTCACTCCAACATATCACATTAAGAGGACCCCCAAGGACAAAGAATCCCAGTCTGAGGCCTAGTCTCCATAGAAGTAACTTGTCAAGTTCAAGGAAAGGCTGGGATCTGGGACTTCTCTGGGGTTCTGGAGTCCAAAGGCTGGGTTTTCTTGACATTGTAGGGAGAGTTTGGCAGGCTTTTCTATGACATAGACTGAACTGATAGTAGGTTTGCCCTCCTCCAGACATAATTGACCAAATCACTGAGATCAAGGGGATGGGGGTGGCAAAGGTAAATTAGGTAGTTATTCCCATGATATACTTTGGAAAAACACAAGAACACTTTCTTAACCTCTTTATCCCTGTTCAATCCCAGGATCTGAAACTCTCACCTTTGGATATTTCCTTGGGCAAAGGTACTATCTCATGAAGGTTATTTTAAGGAGTTACATGTGTAATTCAGGAAATAAGAGAGACAAAAAGATGCTTTAATACATTGATACCAAAAAATGCATTAGGGTTGGGGTTAGTTCAGAGAAGATCCAGAGGTTTAGGACAGAACAAAAAACATATCTGTGGAGCATTTTAGGGAGATGTGCAAATGTAGGGTACCACAACACAGGTGTATGCCTGGGACTTTGAAACTGGAGGCACATGGAGGTGGGAGAGATTCTCAAAAGAACTTAAATTGCCTCATAATTCTGTTGAGGGTGGATTTCTTATTGAAGGAGAGACAAATTTCAAATGAATGAATGAATAAAAAAAGATTTTATTAAGAGCTCATTTAGTGTAAAGCACTGTGCTAAACTCTGGGCAGGCAAATAGAAAAATAAGACAGTCCCTGCCCTCAAAGAGCTCATAGTCTTCTCTCAACACATATTGATAAGACATGATCCCCACTTAGGGCACAAATGCCCAGATATGTAATGGTTCTTACTAATTTTGTGACTTTGGGCAGAACCTATGATTTCATTGGTATCCGGAACTCTCAGTAAGTATAATCCTACCAATGTAGATAACCACCAGCTTGCAAGAAGACACTGAGAAGTTAAATGACTTGTCAGAGGTGAGACTCAAATCAAGGTCTTCCTTTTATTATGGTCAAAATAAGGTAAATTGAGACACAACATTCTGAGTACAATCAATTTATTAGTAAGGTATGAATTTACCAATAAATAGGATCTCAGTTTCCTCAGCAAAGCTAATACCTTGAATGAGGACGACAACTCTCTTTTGTAGTTTTAAGGAGCACAGAACAAAGAACAGGACTTCATAGGCAGGGAACAAGTGGATAGAGTGCCAGGCCTGGAGTCAAGCAGACTCATCTTCTTGAGTTCAAATCTGGCCTCAGACATTTACCAGTTGTGTGACTCTAGGCAAGTCACTTAACCCATTTGCCTCAGTTTCCTCATCTGTAAAATGAGCTGAAGAAGGAAATGGTAAAGCACTCCAGTATCTTTACCAAGAAAACCCCAAATGGGGTCAGGAAGAGTCAGACAGAACTGAAAAATTATTGAACAAAACCAGCAACAAAAGAGCTCAACATGAACATGGCAAAATCAATATGATTGGTTACAGAGATTAGGCATGGGGGTCAATGTAATTGGCTGGAAGTTGGGAATGAGGGGCTAGCAACAACCCCCTCTTTCATTGTTTGTGTCCACCTGCATGGTCAGAGATAGTGGACCAGACTTCTTTGGATAACAAACCAGACATACTTGAAGAATAGCTTGGTGGTGTATTAATACTAGATCAGATTCCCTGGTGTCCAACTGTATCTCTCAAGGATAAAAGATTTCCTAGAGGCAAGAATAGAACAGTGATTAGGAGAACTGGATTTCTAAACTTAACTCATTACAGGACAGCTGTATTTCTGAACTAAGCTCAGAGACAAAGAACCATGACTTAGGCAAATTACAGAACAAAATCAATCAATGGTAAATAGGATCAATTAAAAGATGACAGAATCAATTTGATTATTTCACTGACTCAAGACTGGATTTCTACACACTATAGTATGCCATCTTTTTTACCTTAGTCAAATTAATTAAATTCTTTGGACCTCCGTTTTTTCATCTGTAAAATGAGAGATTAGATTAGATTTTCTTAAGCTCCCTCCAAATCCAAATCACTGGATCCTGAGTTCCTATAATACACAATTGTCCATGATAATTCCACAAGAGAAGTACAAAATGATGTGCTGCATGAAGTCTAAGGGGAAAGTCATTTTGCTTTGGAGTCATGTAACTATCCTTGGTGATTCTTGGATTATGGTTGCTTTCTGGCCACAGTGCACCTCTAACCAGAAGTGGGGTTCTCAAGTATGCCTCAGTCTCTTCTATACAGATATTTCCTAAAAGGATTTAGGATGCTAAGGAGGTATCTTCTCACTGTTCCTTTATAGACAGATGCCCACACTACACCTGTGCCACAGTGAAAACATCTGAGGAGAAATATATGATTCTATATTGTCAAAGAGGATTTCAAGGCAAGCAGATCAGAATGGCCCAACTTGTGGGTAAGTGACGTGTAATATTGTGAATCAAGAGAACAGTCTCAATATGTGAGGAAGTTGCTAGAATCTGTCCACACAGATTGTCTTTTACATGCTCAAATATGAAATCCTTGAAAGTAGCAGGAGCAGCTTGGTTTTGCATTTGATACTCATCAAAGCCTAGGGAAGTGGACAGTGGATTGTACAAGTCACCTCAGATTTCCTTAGCTAGGGACTTGATAGTAACACTGCTAAGCCATCACATTCTCAGACTGCAGGCACTGATACAGCTTTTTCTTAGTGAGTCAGCAAGGGGCAAAGACAGCTAGGTGGTGCAGTGGACAGAGCACTGGACTTGAAATCAGAAAGACTCATCTTCCTGAGTTCAAATCTAGCCTCAAACATTTAATAGCTTTGTGACCCTGGGAAAGTCACTCAATCCCATTTGCCTCAATTACTCATCTGTAAGATGAGCTGGAGAAGGAAATGGCAAAGCACTCCAGTGTCTTTGACAAGGAAAACCCCAAGCGGGGTCACAAAGAGTCGGACCCAACTGAAATGATTGAACACACACACACACGCGCGCGTGTGCACACACATACACACACACAGACACAGACACACACACACACACACACACACACAGAGGGCAGATCCTGATTTGAACAAAGCAAGAGATAGAGGGAGAAGGTAAACATGCACATGTTTCTTTCTCTGCACTTTTGGAGATTTGGGGGCATTGTTTTAGTTCATGTTTGGTAGATTTAGATTTTTTTTCTATACAGATGAAGGTTTGGGATGAATCTGAGATGGGAGGGCAAGGGGACTTGTTGGCAGGGTACAAGTGCTGACCTGTTCAACCACTACTGAGTTCTCCTCTGATTTCCTTTCATGCTAACAATTAAATTTACTAAGCAGCAAGAATGAGAGACTCATTATAGGAAGTGTCTATTATAAAGGTAAGGATTAGAGAACTAATGTGTCAGATCTCACAATTATTCATCCTGATTCTCTCTACAGGTCCAAATACAGATGAGAACCCAAAAGCCCTACAGGAATTTTACAGGTTTATCTACAGAGAAAGATTTGATGAAAGAAGAATCATCACTCCCAGACAAATTGGTAATAAAGAATGAAGTTTTAGCTTTTTCCTGCCCTGTCTGTCTACTTCCTGTGCTCCAATCTCTTTTCTTCTATTCCCTTTTCATTTTTTAAAAGCTGTTTTATACTAACCTCTTAGCAGATCACATCTAACTGCATGAACTATTGTTCAGTTAGTGAGCTCTGTGGTAGAAAATGCTTTTGGCAAATGCATTCACATGTGTCTTTATTTTTGCAGAGGCCTGCACTCCAGAAAATGCTTAAGGTAGGTGTACTTTAAAGACTTCTAGAGCATCTTCCAGAAAAATCTAGAAGCCTTCAACTTGGCTGGGACTTAAAATGCCACTTAGTTCAGTTTAACTATAGGAAGATGAACTAAGCCTTTCCAGAGTTCTGATCTTGCTTTCAATATCTTGAATAGGTCATGAACTCCTTAGAATTTCTGTCCTAGTCTTTAGTACCCCTGTATCTTAATAAATGCTTTTGGACATTTCACTTCATTCTCAGATATTAGAGATTAAGGCCATTGCCCCTTGGTGGGTTCTTTGTGAAAGCAAAGAAAAACTGGCCAGACTCCATCCCCTTAGGAGGGTAAGTGTGATGTTGTGGAAAGAGTGCTGAATTTGGAGCCAGAGGACCTAGTTTCAAGTTCTGACTTCAAATACCTGTGTGATCTTGAGAAAGTTATTTCAACTTTCTGGATCTTAGTTTTCTATTCATAGCATGAATGCGGGGAGGACTAGATGATCTGAAGGTCTCTTCCAGCTCTAAGCCTAGAATGTTACAAGCCCAATTATCCATTGTTGTAATTGAAGACAATGATGAAATTTCTGAACTTTTGGTATCCTGGGCCTAAGTCTTGCTAGCTCATGTGGAGCTTCTGCTCCCTTCTGCAACTCTAAGAATTCATTAGTGAATTTCCCTTTGATGTTTTCTAGGAGAAGATGATTCCTTTCAATATGAGAATCAACACTATCCAGGAAATTTGAGCCATCACTTCAGATGACAAGCAGTTCCCTGTGTCTGGGTCCAGCATAATTTCCTCTCTCATTACCCCAACACCATCCTCTAATTTCTAACATTTTCTATGCTACATAAGTGCTACATAAATGTATGAAGCAATCATACTTGGCTCAGTCTCTTTTTTAGGTTTTCTTGAGGTAGTGAATAAGAAATAGGTTATAACTAAATCAGTTACACATCACGGGGAATCCTAAGGTCTTGGACTTCCAAAGATTCAGAAGAAACTTATGGCTTCTATAGGGTGTGGTCAAAGGTTGCATATATAAGATATTCAGAAAGCTGTCTTTGGTCGGTTTCATGCTAGCACTTAAAGTAAGATCCAAAAAATTTGGAGAGATAAATCAATGATGAAAACAAATCAGTTGTGGGAAGATGGCAGCATGCTAGGAGGAGCCTGGATCCTTCACAAATGCTTCAGAAAAAATGAACTCAAAACTTTAATTTAGAGTCAGATAGAAAATCCTCTACCTAGTCCAGAGTTGCGTAAAAAAAGCTATGGAAATCTGGAATGTATGAAGCTTAGGGTAGGTAGGAAGACCAGTGCAAAGCAGTCCCATGGCAGTGAGAAAGGGGGCTATTAGCAGGGACCAACAAGAGTGTATCCTTGGATCCCTAAGGCAGTAGCAGAAAAAAACCTGGGCAGAACTCAGCAGGGAGATAGCCTCAGACCACTACAATAAGAAAAAGTGTTAAAAAAGGCCCCAGGCTCAGCCCAGGGTAGAGGGTGGCTCCTCAGCCAGAGAAATGCCTTAGGCAGACTGTCAAGAAAAAAGGAAAGAAAGGCCATAGGAAGATCCTAGTGTGGGATGGCTTTTAAGGTCTATGGGAACTGGAGATAATAATAATTTCAGTAGCAAGGTAGCCCCAGAGCTTTGGCCACAAGAAAAAAAAAGATCATAAGCATCATCCAGGCAATTTTCTCCTAACCTTGCATCCAGCTATATTGGGCCTGAGTTATGGTTCAGGTAATAAGCTCAAATAATTCTTGAAGAAGGTAGAGCCTAGGCTTACATAGTCCACAGGATAAAGTAAAGTCTGACCATACAATCAAGTGACATAGAAGTAGAGATTAACCAAGCACAAACCTTGGACTCAGACAGGTGATATGAGCAAACTAAACAATAAATTTTATGGAGAAATATTTTGGATTGAGAGAGACCCAATGAACAAACCCTGAAGAGGTCACTAATCCCACAAGTCCAAGAAGAACCTCAGGAAAAAAAAATGTGCTGGGATATATACACAAAAAATATGTAAGAAGATCATAAGAGTATCTGGAAAAAATGAAACAAGAGATCCAAAATGTAATAGCTAAGAAGAAAAGAATGGCAAGGAGAATTGAGACTTTTTTTATTAACAAATTTATTTATTTTTAGTTTTCAGCATTTACTTCCACAAGATTTTGAGTTCCAAATTTTCACCCCATCTTGCCCCTCCCCCCACCCCAAGATGGCATGCATTCTGAATACCCCTTCCCCTAGTCTGCTTTCCCTGCTATCTCTCTCCCCCTTCTCTTATCCCCTTCCCCTTCTATTTTCCTGTAGGACAGGATAGATTTCTGTACCCCATTTCCTGTATTTCTTATTTCCCAGTTGCATGTGAAAACATTTTTTTTAAATATGTGTTTTTAAAACTTTGGGTTCCAAATTTTCTCACTTCCTCCCTCCCCACCCACCCTCATTGAAAAGGCAAACAACTCAATGTAGGTTATACATGTGCAGTTATGCAAAACACTTCCATAGTAGACATGCTGTGAAAAACTAACTGTATTTCCCCTAATCCTATCCCGCCTCCCCATTTATTCTATTCTTTCTTTTGACTCTGTCCCTCCTAAGAAGTATTTGCTTCTGATTACCCCCTTTCCCAATCTACCCTCCTCTCTATCATTCCCCTACTCACTTATCCCCTTCCCCTCCTATTTTCCTGTAGGGTAAGACAGATTTCCATACCCAATTGAGTGTGTATGTTATTCCCTCCTTAAGTCAAATCCTATGAGAATAAGATTCATTCATTCCTTCTCACCTTCCCCCATTTCCCTTCCACTATAAGAGCCTTTTCTTTTCTGTTTTTTTTTGTGAGATAATTTACCCTGTTCTACCTTTCCCTTTCTCCTTCTCCTAGTATAATCCTCTCTCACCCCTTAATTTTATTCTCCAGATATGACCCCTTCATCTTCAACTAACCCTGTGTCCTCTATCTATCTATCTATCTATCTATCTATCTATCTATCTATCTATCTATCTATCTATCTATCTATCTACATCTATATATCTATATCTATATACCTACATATAATTTTTCCCCTCCACTTACCCTAATACTGACAAAGGTCTCATGAGTTACAAATATCATTTTTCCATGCAGGAATGTAAGCAGTTCAACCTTAATAAGTCTCTTATGATTTCTTTTTTCCTGTTTACCTCTTCATGTTCCACTTGAGTCTTGTATTTGAAAGTCAAATTTTCTTTTCAGCTCTGGTCTTTTCATCAAGAATGCTTGAAAGTCCTCTGTTTCACTGAATGACCATTTACTCCCTTGAAGGATTATACTCAGTTTTGTTGGGTAGGTAATTCTTGGTTGTAATCCTATCTCCTTTGCTCTCCAGAATATTATATTCCATGCCCTGTGGTCCTTTAATGTAGAAGCTGCTAAATCTTGTATTATCCTGATTATGTTTCCACAATACTTGAATTGTTTCTTTCTGGCTGCTTATAATATTTTTTCCTTGACCTGGGAACTCTGGAATTTGACTATAATATTCCTAGGAGTTTTCCTTTGGGGATCTCTTTCAGGAGGAGATTGGTGGATTCTTTCAATTTCTATTTTGCCCTCTGGTTCTAAAATATCAAGGCAGTTTTCCTTGATTATTTCTTGAAAGATGATGTCTAAGCTCTTTTTTTTAACATGGCTTTCAGATAGTCCAATAATTTTTAAATTCTCTCTCCTGGATCTATTTTCCAGGTCAGTTGTTTTTCCAATGAGATATTTCACATTGTTTTCTAATTTTTCATTCTTTTGGATTTGTTTTACAATGTCTTAATTTCTCATAAAGTCACTAGCTTCCAATTGCTCTATTCTAATTTTTAAGGAAGCATTTTCCTCAGTAAGATCTTGGACTTCCTTTTCCATTTGGCCAATTTTGCTTTTTAGGGCATTCTTCTCCTCATTGGCTTTTTGGACCTCCTTTGCCATTTGGATTAGACTATTTTTTAAGGTGTTATTTTCTTCAGTATTTTTTGGGTCTCCTTTAGCAAGCTGTTGACTTGTTTTTCATGATTTTCTTGCATCACTCATTTCTCTTCCCAGTTTTTCCTCTACTTCTCTTACTTGCTTCTCAAAATCCCTTTTGAGGTCTTCCAAGGCCTGGGACTAATTCATGTTTTTCTTGGAGGCTTTGAATGTAGGAGCTTTGACTTTGTTGTCTCTTCTAGTTGTATGTTTTGATCTTCTTTGTCACCAAAGTATGATAATATAGTCTGACTCTTTTGGCACTGCTTACTCATGATCCCAGCCAATTACTTGAGTTTTAAACTCTTCCAATGTGGATAACATACTGTCCCAAGCTCGGGGGTTTGTACAGCTGTTTTCAGAGCTACTTCTAGGGACCTGTAAATTTTCAGTTCTTCCAAGGTGGTATGATAAGGGCGAGGAGTTTCCTCTCTACCGCCACAACAAGCTCCACCACACCAGCCCTCCTCCTTGCCCCAGGACCACCCCTCAGAACTGTGACCCAGATCCAAGCACAGGCAAAGCAAGAGATTCCTGCCTCAGAACCAGCAAAGAGATCCCTGCAGTCCCCCTCTGATCAGCCACTCAATTCCCCCAAGTCTGTAGGCCAGGAGCTCAGGAGGCAGCCGCTGCCCCAGAGGCTGCACTCGGGACTTGAGGCTGAGACCTAGCTCCTCTCTCTCTGCAGTCACAGACTTTTACCACTGACCTTCTAAGTTGTCTTTGGAGTTTGTGGGTTGAGAAGTCTGGAAACTGCCACAGCTGCCTGTGATTCAGCACTCTG